CACCAGAAATCCTTTCTTTGCCTGCTTTCTACTGTCTCCTTCCACTTGATGATATCATGTGGGTCTTGCTGCTGCCAGTTAATCAGCCCTCTCCTTGTACTTGGAAACTCACAGGATACCTTGTTACTTTTATAGTAGATCACCGTTGTGCATTTGTGGTGGTGATGGATTGTTGGAGGATTAGGTAGATTCAAAACAATACCACTTTACTCCTATGCAGAAAATATCACATTTTTCATTTCTAGAAGTTCTTCCGTTCTCTGGATTTTCCCTTTCTTACATCTTCTGGTTCTTGGTTTATGGACCCTCCAGCAACTCTTAACTCTCTAATAGTGATTTTTAAAAAACCTTTTAGTCTCCCTACATTGTCCTTATTTTTTCTAAGTTCCCTTTCTCTTCTTGTTTCTTCATCTCATTTTCATGTCAGTCTTCCCTCCACTATCTTGAGATTTTTGGCCCTCCAAGCATATATAGAATTTAGGCATTTTTTCAGGAGCTCTGTGTATATATTTGGGACTTCTCAGTCAGTGAGCGTCTCTGTAATTGCTTGGCAGAGACAGATTTATGTAGTTGAGGGATGCTGCACAGTCAGTATTGGTTTCCCCAGATTGGTGTCCTCCCATATGCCGCTTTGGGTTGGGGAAGTGGGTTGCCAGTGTATTTTTAGTGGAACTGAACGGGGAGTAGGGAGGCATCTCATGGTTCAAGATACAGACCTTCCTTAACTTCCCTATCCAATAAGGTCCTCAAAAAACATGACCAGTGTTTGAGTCCAGATCCTCTATGTTTCAACCTATCCTGAAAATAAACTTTCTATCTTTTGCCAGGGTGGGGGAGAGGCCATCTCTTGTCTGCCCTGGCGTGAGAAACAAAATTTAATTGTTTAACCTCTCACAAATTGGGGCACCTGGCTGCTCAGTTGGCAGAGCATGTAACTCTTGATCTCAGGTTTGTGGGTTTGAGCCCCATGTTGGGTATAGAGATTACTTAAAAATAAAATCTTAAAAAAAATAAAAACCCAAAAAAGGTCTTACAAATTTTTAACTAATCACTCTGTTTTCAGTCCACCCATACTCACCTCTTCCTTCAGAGTTACCTGGTACAATTATTGGCTCATTTACCAGTCTTTCAGGATACTGAATTTTTAAAAATTTGTTCCCCAACTCTTGCACACACTTAACTATAAAGTCAGTTCAATTCTTCTTATGTTCTCTAGATTCTAAAACTTTGCTGGCATCTATCCAGTTTTCTTTATCCTTAGAGATTTATGAAGTGGGTTTTTTTTTTAATCCCTTAATTGTTATTTACGTGGGGTTCAAAAGGATGCAGGCAAATACATGTTTACCTCTGCCATCCTTTTAATAAATTTCTGCTTAAACTGAGAATAGTAATATTAACAATAATGCTAGAAATATATCTACAAATAGTGTGTTTTCTAGAGAAGAGTTCTGAATAGGGCTGAACTAAGTCCATCAGATATATAACTCAAAACACCATAATACTTTTTTTTAACAATTACCTAGGATTTCTACTTTGTACTCAATAAAATATATTTTAAAAAATCATCATACTTGTACATACATAAGGAAAGTAAAAGCAGAAATTAAGGTATTTCTAAAACTTCCTTACATTTAGTGTTCTAATCCTCTGAGTCATATACATAAAATGTGTAATTGTGGTAAAAAACCCACATTACATAAAATTTACCATCTTCACCATTTTTTTAAAGATTTTATTTTAAAGCAATCTCTACGCCCAACATGGGGCTTGAACCCACAACCCGAAGAGTTGCAAGCTCCACCAACTGAGTCAGCCCAGTGCCCCCCATCTTAACCATTTTTAAGGGTACAGTTCAGTACTTTTAAATATATTCACATTGTTGTGCAGCCCATCTCCAGAACTTTGTCATCTCGTAAAACTGAAACTCTGTGCCCATTAAACAACTCCCCATTTTCCCCTCCCCTCTACCTCTGGTAACCACCATTCTGTTTTCTGTTTCTATGAATTTGACTACTTTAGATCCCTCAAGTAAGTGGAATCATACTGCATTTGTCTTTTTGCGACTGGCTTATTTCACTTAGTATAATGTCTTCAAGGTTCATTCATGCTGTAACATGTGTCAGGACTTCCCTTTTAATGAAGCACATTTTGTGGTGAAGGAAAAATGCAATTCCCTTTAACAAGCAACAGTGAAAATATGATTCACTCTGAAACACTGGATCAGAAATGTTAAGTAAGTGTTAAGCCCAAATCTGAGGATGGAAAAGAAGAAAAAGGCATTTCTCACTTTTGCAAAAATAAATAAAAACAGCTTAGATGCAAGAGAAACAACATGCCAAATATGTATTATCCTTGGGGTTTCATGGCAAATAACCTTATCTAGTGATAATAAAGTAAATATAAAAAAATAACTGCTCAATTAATGTTAAATTGACTTGGAGTACCAGCCCTTAGTTTTCCCAAAGGGCTCTTAAATGAATGTGTCTGATCCTAGGAGAAGAGACAAAGCCCAGTTTTTAGCTGCTGTAGTCTGGTTGTTATGTTGTGATCTGCAAATTTCCCAATTCTGTTTCCAGGCTTTGCCTTCACACAGTAAAACCCAGTGCAGGGACAAGGGGAAAATGGAAGGTCTGTGTAAGCCTGAATTGGTATGGGAAGTTGGAGTACCTGTTCAAGTTTGTATATAGAGAGGAATTTCCCGAACACATATTGGAAAAAAAAAAAAAAGATGTTTTTAGAGTGAGCGTGGTAACCCACTACTTACCCACTGTAAGTTAAGCAATGTGCAAACGCTTTCTGCTTGGCGCTCACACGTCTGCCTTCCTTATACTTGGTCCTTTTCTATCTCCCTGGCTTCCTGTGTGTTGTTTCTTACTCTTGCCTTTCTCTTCTTTCTGCCTGCCCCCACCGAACTTCTGTTTGCTCTTCTGTCCCTTGAGTCCTGAGTCCTGCATCCTGGGTTGTGTCTTGCCTCCCGCGCCCCCTCTGGCCCTTCCCATTCTGCCTGCAAGGGCTCTCCTCTGCAAAGGACCTGGAGGGGCCTCCCAAGCTGGGTGGGGTTTCACTTGGCTAAATGACCACATCCTGGAGCACCATCCAGCAGTGTTTTCTTAAGACTTGGAAGTTGAAGTCAGCGCAGTTAGTGGGGGGAAAAGTGAAACCATTTCGTGGGATGACCCTCCAGAGAATGGCTCTGTGTTCATCTCTAAAAGGTGGAGTTGCATGACAATGACTATGGAGCTAAATCTTGGGGGGGTGGGGCAGAGGACCAGCCAAAGGACAAAGGCCCCTGAGGTGAGGGTGGAATCAGGTTGGGATAGCCAGGGCTGCTGGTTGTGGCTGGGTTCATCGCCAGTGGTCTTTTTTTCTTTCCCACCTAACCCACTGACCTTGTTCAGCTGTGGGGCTGTAGTGGGGGGCTACTGTCTGGTTCCATTGCTGTCTGTTCCTGGGTAAACCTGGGCCACACCCTGCTCTAATTTGAAAAGAAAATGCAAAAAGAAAAAGATGCCCAATTGTGACTTCTAAAATAGTACTCCAGGTATATAGAATATTCCGTCTCCCTGGCATGGAAGTGGGCTCTCCAAGGTCATTTTTAGGAGCCCCTACGCAAAAGGTTCTTGAGTCATTCTAGAACACAGTATTACAGAAAGACCTATTTTATAGGGAAGAAGCCACGAACAATGTAATTTCAAGAATACCTATTAGGCCCTGTCCCAAGGACAGGATCTAAATTTTATTAACAAAATCTAAAATTCCAGGAGGGAATGGGGGATGCAGTAACTGGGTGATGGACATTAAGAGAGCACGGGATGTAATGAGCACTGGGTGTTGTATAAGACTGATGAATCATTGAACTCTACCTCTGAAACTAATGATACACTACATGTTAATTAATTGAATTTAAATTTTTTTTAAATGCCAAAAAAAAATCTAAAATTCCATTGATGGTTTTATCCCCAGTTTAAGTATTCAACCCTTCCCTTAAAATGTAATCAAATTCCAGGAGGGACAATAGATTGACCCTTATGAATCTTAAGCCTCAAATGACACCAGACCCATTCCTTACCTCCATCCCCTACATCTTTTGCTCCAGGTAAACCAGAATTCACTGCTGGAGCCAACCCTAGGCTTTTTCCATCCTTCATTCCTGGAGACTTTTGAGCTTGTTTTTCTACCTGGGACACTCTTCCCTCTCCTCTTTTTTCAGCTAACTCCCCAGGCTAAAAATTCAGGCTCCAAATCTGTTCTCCGAGGCAGGCATAGTCCATTGGAGCCTTCCCTGAGTATCTGGGTCCCTCCTCCCTGGCGGCCCTTACCCCGGGGTGTTCTCTGGCTTACAGGTTAAGCCTCCATCAAAGACAGGAGCTGTGTCTTGCTCCTCTTCGAATCTCCCATCTGGAACAGTATCCGACCCAGAGTAGGCTCTGCTTATGGAGTGAGCGAACGTTTTACTGCCAATGTGTTTTTCGTGGGGTGGCAGAGGAGGCCTGGAGTGGCAAACGGAGGATGCCAGGAGAAAAAGCAGCAATACGTTAAGAGAGGAGGCTGGGCTCACTGAGGCACATTCTGCGCGACAGTTTTGCAAAGGGCCAGATAGTTGAGAGACATGCTAAAATCCTCCTTTACTGTCATCCCTTGGAAGGTAACTGTAATCGACTGCTGAAATTTCAAATGTATTGACACATTTGATGCATTTGTCGGAGTGGTTTTAAATGACCTGTATCTCACACAATAAAATAGGGTAAAGTTAAAAACCAAGTTTGTTTTAGATTTGTATCTGCCACCATCTGTTGGTTCCCGGATCCTGGCTTACGTCATTCGTATTTTTACATTAAACATTACCAGTAATAAAAACAAAGGAAGGGGGGAAATAAAAACTCATGTAGGGAAATTCTGATTTCACACAGGCTTGACAGAGACTTTTTCTTTTCAGTAATCCTAGAAACAGAAAACAACAGGAAGATGTCTTACTGAGAAAGGCCCCCTTCAACTTGACCATGAGTCAAACACGGAAGAAAAATTCTTCAGATGGAGAAACTAAACCCCGGACTTCATTTGTCAACAAATTCCTCAGGGGCTCAAAACTTATGTCCTCCAAAGCTGAAAGCAGAAAAGAGAGCAATGACCTTGCAACAACTGATTTCCAACCCAGCAACGATGCACAGAAAACAGCCACTTTAGATACGGGTAAACTTCTGACTGCTGTTATTTCTTTACTTTTTTAGAATAATGTTTTCCCCTAAAGAGATCATATGGGTTAAACTAAACCTAATCTGAGCCTCTATTCTAAGCATTTACTACGTGACTTAAATGCTTTAAATACTTGGCTAATTTGACTTTTAAATTATCAAAAGTAACACTACAGGAAGGTATAGAGAAAATACCTTGTTTCCTTTCATTCTAACACAAATGATCATTTCTTCAAGATTCTTTTCAGTCTTTTGTTCATATGCATGCATTTATGGTCAGTCAGCCAGTCAACAAACATTGATTGAGTACCTACTGTATGACAGCTACTGTTGTAAGTGTTAGAAATGCGGCCACGCAAAACAGGACCTCATATACACAAAGAACCGAATGCAGACATAATTTCAGTGTGATAAGTGATAGGAAGAAAAATAAAGCAGGCTAAGGAGACAGAGGATGGATGGGGTACTACTCTAGGTGGAGTTGCAGGGAAGGAGTCTCTGATTTGGTGGCATTTGAGCAGAGATCTGAATAAAGTAAGCCAAGTAGAATGAATGAATCAAGCCAGTCCCATGGATGTCTATGGCAGCGGCTTCCCAGGCAAAGGGAACTGTAAATGCAAAGGCCCAAGGTGGGACTGGGCCTGGAATGCTTGAGAAGGAGCCCAAGGTCAGGGGTGCTGAAGCAAGATGAGAGAGGAGAGAGGACAAGAGCAGTAGGACAGTCACCCCCCCCAGGGGTTCCTGGGGGCCAGAGCGGGCATCTTTTGCAGTTATAATAGCTTACAAATCCCTCTTGAGCTTACATGGAGCTGATATCCTACTTCTGGAACATATGATTAATATTGCTCAATCCCCACATGGCAGACATACACAAAATGATGTTCGTATGCCTAATTTTAACAGCTGCATAATATTCTATTCCACGCATATTCCATAATTACTTAAGTTCCTTTTTTGCCCTTCAGTGAATATTTTTGTCTTTCCCTCTTGCTTATTCCCAGCTTCATTGTATTTCAGCCTTTTTCTTAGAACAGAGATTAAAAATTCAAGGGTTATGAAAATAAATATTGGCAGGCCTCTCCCTAAAGCTATGTGTCATAAACAATGCCATTAATATAGTATCTATTAGATTAAATGTATTTTTTAAACATCTATATACACAGAAGTAGAGAGAACAGTCTAAGAACTCCCCATGATCACTTCCCTCTAACAATTATCAACCCGTGGCCAATCTTGATTCATTTATACCTACCCTCAATTCTATCAGATTATTTGCATTGAATACCAAAAATAGTATCATTTTATGTGAAAGCAGATTAAGTGTCTTTTTAAATCTATTTTGGAAATAGGAAGTTAAAGTCTACTTTTTAAAAAAAGGACAACCTCTATCAGAAAATTGTTGATAGTTGTTCTAAAGTAGGAATCGAACCTTTAGGAACATGGTGAAATTTAGTAACCATGATGAAATTAACAGTGCAAGGCTAGGCACTGGTTATCCCAGCTGGGCAACACTGGCCCCTCAACCTTGCATGGTTTCTCCATTTCCATTTCTCCCAAAATTCAGTGGCTCCTGGAGTCATGTCAATTCTGCTCCCAAAATGGCTCTAAGACCTGGCTCCTCTTCTCCGTTGCTGTTTGGGCTCATGGATTTTTGACCGGACCACTGGGTCAGCTTCCTAACTGGTTTCTCTACTTCTAGTCTGGCTCTCCTGCCAACTTGTCCTCCACAGTGCCATGGGGTGCTCTTTCTAAATCACAGACATGATGTCTTTCCCCTGCTTAAAATCTTTCCACTGTTAATTTCATCATGGTTACAGGTATTCATGAACCATGTTCCTGAAGGTTCGATTCCTAGTCTTTCTTGCCTTGAAAAGAAAGTCTACACTCCCAAGCATGGTCTTCAAGGTATTTATGATCAGATGGATCTCTCTTCATGACCTCTGCCTTCCCCCAACCTCATGTTCATCCTCAACTCCTGAAATTCAGATTCACTTGCAGTTTCTTGCACTGGCCATATTCTTCCAAAGGGGTTCCCTGGGCTTATAAAGACCTTCCCTTTTGTCACCATGCTCCTTCTGCACCCCTCCCTCATTTGTTCCTCCCTCGTGTCCACCCACCTGCCTGACTATCGCTCACCCTTAAGGTGCAATTCATGTACCCCTTTCTCTTGCAAGTTTGCCAAGACCTGCAAGAACTGTCACTACCGTGTGTTCCCATGCACCCTCCACACGCCTCCGTCATTGCACGTCTCCTCTGTACTGTCAGCATGGGTTTCGTGTCTGTCTCTTCCATTAGACAGGTAGCTCCTTGAAAAGAGGAACTTGTTATCTTGGTTCCCTGTACAGCACCACCCATGTTACAAACATGTAATCATGTTTTATGAAACTACTGGGATTCTTGGTTGTTTATAACCAAGAAACCAACCCTGATAGTTTTAGGTTGGAAAAGAACTTAATGTGAAGATACTGCTTAGCTCCCAGAATCACATGGAGAAGGCAGAAGCTCGGTTCAGCAGGAAAGCAGCCAGGAAAAGGCACTGAGTCACTCCACAGAACTGCTCACGTGTGATAACCTTGTCCTCTTCATGATGGGCCGGTCAACCTACCTCAGCCAATGGGCAGCAACTCTGACTCAACCGTCTCATGTCTCGAGCTGGGATATAAGCTATCCTTGGAAAAAGGGTTTTATGTATTTAAAAAAAAATGAAATATATGGTCTGTAAGGACATGTCCAGGGATCTCATACATTGGTACTCATATTTATACTTAGGCGTTTGATAAAGATTTACCATGTTGATTTATTTTGGTCATTAAGGAGCCTTAAAGCTAATATTCCTTCTTTCCTTCCTTCCTTCCTTCCTTCCTTCCTTCCTTCCTTCCTTCCTCCCTCCCTCCCTTCCTTCCTTCCTTCTTTCATTCATTCAATTATTTGTGCATTCAACAAGTATTTACAGAATACCTCCCATATAAAAGGCACTGCAGAGTTCCATCTCCCTGGGAGGCCCCAATAAATGAGAAGTGAACCAGGCAGGAATTATAATCTCTACTTTATAGATGAGTAAACCAAGGCTCAAAGAAGTTCAGTGACTTGCTTACCTGAGGGAACCATGATTTGAACCAGGTCTTCCACTTACACTGTCTTAGACTTGCCAGTTCTGTCAAACATTACAGAGTACCCAGGTAGGATGCAGTCTGAGAAGAGATTCCTGGATCTGTCAATTGGTAGGTCACTGCTGGTGACCTTTGAGAATGTGAATGTGGTCACCAGAACATAGAAGGTTAATTGGCAAATGTGGGGAAGTGGTACCAGCAAGCACAAACCACCCTTTCCAAACATATGACAGTAATCATTTCCTAATGAAAGACAAAACAGTGGCTTGAGAAAACACAGAAGCTTTTGTGAGGCTGGAACTTGAGCATGATTGTAAGTTGAGCCTATGGAGATAAGTTCAAAAAGAGAAGGGAGAAAGCATCAGATAGCATGCAGAGAGATTTTTTTAACACAAAAATTCAAAAACACACACATACATATAATGGGCTTTGGAGCAGACTGTTCTGGGTTCAAATTCTGACTCTGCTACTTACTAATTGACAGTCTCTCCGTGTCTCAGGTTCCAAACCTATGAAATAGTGCGATTGTGTCTCCTTGCATGAAGTTTACACAAAATGTCCTGGCACATAAGAATTAGTCCCTCTGCACCCCCCACCCACCATTCTCTTCTGCTCTACCCAAAATTAGAGTTGCCAGATAAAATACATGCAATATTTGGGATATACTTTTACTAAGCAATGATTCCTTGTTTACTTGAAGTTTAAATTTATTGGACAGGCTGTTTTTGTTTTTCCTAAATCTGGCAACCCTACCCAAAATGAAACACATTTTATTTACCAATGCCTGATACAAGTGGAAGACCAGAGTGAAGAGGTAAAATGGTGGATGGTGCTGCCTCCTACTGGCGGAATGTGGCAACACCAGCCATCCCTGCAAAGATGTACACCCTACAGGTGTTTTCTTAAAAATAGCCAGCCACCAGATACACTACCGAGGAGAGGTAGAGTTTGTATTACTCTCCTAATATTTAAGTCTAAGCTAATTACTACTGAAATCCTACTATTACTTTTCACTGGTACCAATATATTTCTTTTTAGCGATGTGGTTTTATACTTTGTAAGGGTTAGTGTAGTATCACTGCATATTTGGAACTTACACTTTCATATTGGATTCCAGTATACTCTTTTTATATGTTTTAAATTGTACATTTTCATCTACAAAACCTCCCTGCTCAGGATTGTTGTTAGTCTATTGACTTGTCTTATTGCGATCACTGCGCATCTTTAATACGATCTGTCGTTCACCCAAGTTCTTCTTTACTCTTATAATGTAGCTCAGCCTCTCACTTCAGACGAGGATTGGGGATCCAGGATGGAGAAAATGAGCAGTTCCTGCAGAAGCTGGGCAGAACGGCTGTGGACAAGTGTCTAGATCTGAATAACTGCAGACTAACGGCAGCGGACGTGAGGGAAGTGGGTCTGTATGCAGTTGACTTCGCACGGAGGGCCACGGGAGCCCTCAGGTTGAGATGAGCAGGCAAAACACGCTCATTACTCACCTGGCAACCCAAGGTCTCAGGGTGGCCCCGAACAACTCAGGAATAGCAGCTGTACCACTATTGAAAAAAACAAAAAAACAAGTTAATTGATCCTTCCTCAAGCTTCAAAGATTTGAGCTGAGTTTAGGAGGAAGGTTCATTTGTCTGTTTGTTCTTCCTGAGCATTTTACCTCCCTACTGATGACTCCTTACTCCCTGAAAAACATTTGTCTTGCACACAATATGAGATATAAACTCGTGCAGCTCATCCATTAAGCTGAGCCCCGCTGGGAATGTAACGGGGTGTTGTGCTCAGTTGTCTGTGGAATGAAAGAGGAACTACCAGCAATTATTGCTTACAACTTGTGTACTCAACAGTGTAATCACCACTTGTCACACGTAAGCGGGCGTCTGGTTGTGAAGACGCCCCTCCCCATACAACTATTACCACCTTTCTTTTCTCTTTTTCTCAGAGACCTTAAGTCGAGTCTTTCATCAAACTAGATGTGTCTACCAGCACAGAGGTATCAAAAGAACTGAATCGTGAGTGAGGGGGCCTTGACTATTTTAATTAAAATCCATGCCACTGTATTTTGGACAATTCTCTGAAGAGAGAACCCTAACCGTGTCTGTGTTTCCAGATACCTGTGTGTCAGAATCACTAGCAGAGCTCGTGTTCACTGCAGTTCAACCCAAGCCCACCAACTTGGAGTCTCTGAGAGCGGGCCCCAGGATTCTTGTTTTTAATTTTTTTTTCCTTCTTAATGTGTTCAAAAGACTTTCAGGCTTGATAAAGTTAGGATTTTGGTGAACAAGTTGAAATTGAAGGCTAGTAAAAAACCAAAAAGCAAAAACAAATTTCACTCCTAATCATGGCCTCAGAATTTTGGACGCAGCTGTGTCTGTAACGGTAAAAGCTCAGCTTGCTACTTCTAACGGCTGCCCTTAACCTTCAAGACAGATTTAACAGCAAACAAAGATTCTTCACCCACTCTTCGTTGGCATTTTCACTCTTGAGTCTCGTTGCTTCAGGAGATAAAGATGGCCTTAGCGAATCTTTTTCACAGACAGTAAGGTCACTTTTAATGGACGATACTCAGAGAAGGTTCTAGTCAGGCTTTGTGCCTGTCTAAACCTCTACATGTTGGTCTATTTAAATATAATGGGAGCCTTTTAAGGTGATGATACCCAGGTAATCAAGATATAAAAGAAAGGGTAAGAGGTACCCTCAATCTCAGCAAACCTGGCCAACAGAGCAGTCCTGCGGCTTTCAGCCCGAGGGTCCAATAGGATGATGAAGGGGTGAGGAATTATTTTTGCAAAATAAAGGACTAGTGTACATATCACAGTGGCAGTGGTAGTAACAGTAGAATTACCATTTCTGCTACAATAAAGGAGCTCCTATGAAATCTTATGAAGATACCACTCCATTTTTGGAGTGCATTTATGTGGCAGAAATAGAAAATATCCTAGGAAATAGGAAATATGAAGGTGACATTCTCCCCCATTGCATGGCTGAGGGATCCCTGCTTTGCTGAAAGCCAATACATCCACCCCTCCCTTCTTAACAGTGCAATAGGCATTGGATCCTATTTACTACCAGTCGCACATTACATATGCAAATCTGTATATCCTCTTGTTCATTTCCAGTTGCTTTGCTGCCTTTTCTCCCAGACTTGGAAAAACTGGATATTTCCTGGAATGATTCTGTAGGTGGAAACCTCCATTCAGTCACCCAGCAAATGCATCTCGTCAGCAAGTTAAAAATCCTGAGGCTGGGAAGTTGCAGACTTACCACGGATGATGTTCGAGCCCTGGGTATGATGAATGCTTCACTGGAAGCAGCTTTGAAGTGTCAAGGGCAAACTATCTGGGTCACACCCCCTCGGGTGCTCATGGATGAGAGCACATGGATGATGGAATGCCATGCTGAGCACTTGCATAACTTCTAAAAAGCTACACAGCCTGTACATACTAGCACTGTGGTAAGCCCCAGGATAGAGAAGGGAACAAGGCTGGCCAGATAGATACCTGCTCTCATGGAATTTAAATGGAGATAATTTGTCAAATTTGCTTACTCTCAGTCTGTTACTCGTCTGTAAAATTGAGGAGTTGAGGTAGGTAATGATTATTTTCCAATTCCAAAATAATCTCTTCTATTTTTCCACTCCCATTTTAAAAAATGGATCAAAACAAGATATTTAAACTAAAAGCAATGGTTTAAATAGAACTAGAACCTCAATTAGTTTATATACTGAACATAGAATGTAAGATAAAATTTGTCATTCTACTAATCCAACTCTTTACTATGATCCTTGCTGGTTTTAGATGCCATTCAATTTTTTAAAAGTTCTTTTGGTCTGAAGTTTCTTATTTCAGTGATGTATTTTGATCATTTACATCTTGGCAAACATTTCTGTAAAAACAACACAACTCATGTCAAATGTCTTCTCTCTGATCCCTCTGTAGAAAACCAGGATCAGTTTATGCCCCCTGGCCCACCCTTCCCATAGCTGAGGAGAAACACCATACATCTCAGAGCCAGGTTTCAGTTCAAATTCTATCCCCACTTCTAACTAGCTTTGTGACAATGGACAATTATTTAAACTTCCTAAGCCTCAGCTTTCTTATCTCTGAAATAAGTTTGATATCCACCTCAAAAAACTACTGTGAGGATTAAATAATTTCTTTGAAGCACTTACTGCATGCCTGGGACATAGTACATGCTCAGTAATTGAGCACAGTTCCTCCTTTCACTACTCCCTCATTCAAAATTAACTTTCAGTGGTTTTATGTGATCAGTTGAGCCCCACTGAGCCCCAGGTTAGCAGCTGGTTATTGTGTAGTGGAGTTGCAAATTTAACTCACTGCTACTCTGGGGTGAAAAGAAAATGTAGTTTCTTTATTTCCTATGATTAATCTAAATTTTGTTCATGGTCTTCCATCCTTAAAAAATGGGGAAATGGGGACGCCCTGTTGGCTCAGTCGTTAAGTCCTGGGATCGAGCCCCGCATCGGGCTCCCTGCTCAGCAGGGAGCCTGTTTCTCCCTCTCCCACTCCCCCTGCTTGTGTTCCCTCTCTCGCTGTCTCTCTCTGTCTGTCAAATAAATAAATAAATAAAAATCTTAAAAAAAAAAAAAAAGAAATGGGGAAATGGCATTTCTGTCCTGGGACTCACTCCAAACTTATCCGGTTCAGGAGAGAGTCTGCATCTTTATTGCTGTGATGTTTTGTAACCTGCTCCCTCTCCCAGACTCCTTCTCCACTCTGAAAGGGCTTCTGCATCTTCTCCATCAGAAGGGACTTTCCTTAGCATTGATGGCAGATGGGGTACAGGGAGAATAAATGGTTTAATGAAAAGAGACCATAAATCAGGAGGCATTCCAACATTATTATACCTTTTACAACTACTAAGTGTAGGATGACAGATGCATGGCTCCCCAGTACCGTGTGCACTGCAGACATGGCTGATCAGTCATGTACTCTCTGTCCCTGATGCTGAGGAGTGCTTTAGGGCTGTAGAAAGCCACCCCAACTGACTGGTGATGGCACACAAAATGGCACCTGTGCTGGGAGAACATGCATTTTAACTGAGGCTCCTGGACTCCTGAAACCTCAGTCCTCACAATGAATAGCCAATGGCAGAAGTCCAAGTACAGTAGTGGACCATGGAGGAGAGGCTTCTAGACACAGGGGACTTTCCAGTACTCTTAACTCTTTGGTATTGAGATTGACTCTGCACATTGCATAAGTGCATTTTCCATGTGTGTGCCTCTCCACCCTGTTCTCCCCAAGGCAGTGGAAAAGTCATTCCTAAGGCTGATTTCCCTGGTCTCACCCAGCCTCCGTTCCAGCCCTCGGATGCTTTCCTCTGCTGAAGGGTTTCAGAAATGTGAGGTTTCACCCCTTTCTCACTGCATCCTCCTCTACCCTCCAAGGCTGCATGGCTGTTATGAGCTGCTAGCACCTTATGCTTTATTACTAGGTCTCTGGAGGGCTCGGTTCAGTTGTATGTGATATTCTTGATGTCAAAGTGAGCTTTACCCCCGTGGCAGCCAGGGCTCTGCTTAGCCTTGCCCCGTCCTCTGGTCCAGCTTCCCAGTGATACTGACCCCAGACAAGGTGGGCGAGAGAAAGGAGTTGGAATAGTACACGTATTTACTACCATAAAAACAACTCCGTGAAACCACCCTACTGAGAGGTAAGGTTTTCTTGACAATAATTTTTGTACAGAGGCATGGCTTCTGAAGCTTGGAGGGTCTAGAATTGCTGTTTCTGTAAATACAGGGGCTCAGCCTGCTAGGAGCGGGTGGGAACTGGGTCTGCTCTGTTCCTCGACACCTGACCAGTCCCTGGCCCAGGCATTATAATTCCATAAATAACGCTTGTGCTGATTTCAAGGTGGATTCCCTGCTTTGTGGATTAGCAATCGACCCCATCTTCGGGCTCTTTTGTAACAGGAGAAGCACTCAAGGTGGTACTTGAACTGAAAGAGCTGAACTTGTCCTGGAACAGTGAAGTGGGAGGAAATTTGCCTCTGACCCTCCAGAAGTTCCAAGAAGGGAGCAAGATACAAACGCTTGAGCTTGTGGATTGTGACCTCACATCTGAAGATGGGGCATTTGTGGGTAAGTGGAATTCGGAAGGGTCCTTCCCAGAAAATAAATGTGAAGACACCCACAAGCAGTCAGCCTGAGAGTCAAAGGGTCAAAGTTGGCTGTGCTTTGTTTCACCCTGAATTGGAGGAGTGGCTCACTATAGCCCCGGGGTCACATGAGGCTGCCCTCCCTTTCCTGCCCCAACATTCACAACCTGTGTTTTTACTGAGTTGCTCTTCTCATTTGGATTCACTTCCTTCTCTCTAGGTCAGTTGCTACCCATGATGCAAAATCTCGAAGTCCTTGATCTTTCCATTAACAGAAACATTGGTGCCAGTCTGAACAGTATTGCTCAGGGATTAAAAAGTACCTCAAATCTGAAAGTACTGAAGTTACACTCTTGTGGACTATCACAAGAGAGTGTCAGACTACTGGGTGAGTTAGCAATGACTGGGGTTTTTACATACACATGAAATTTTAGTTTATATTTAATTTTTTAAGCTGTTAGGAAATTCAACAAAATATACACAGTGGTTATGTTGGGGAATGAGATTATAGGTAATTTAAATCTTCTTTGTTTTATTCTTTTCTAAGTCTTTTACAGTAAGTACATACTTTTCATGATTCTAAAAATTACCTCTTAAAATGGCTGCCTCTGAAAAGGCCAGGATATTCTGGGTTTGAGATAGACACTGGGCAAAAGAAAAGTTATGCGCTACAAAAGCTCTCCATTTTTCTCTTACTTCTGAAAATGTCAGCATTATTTTATGCTCAGTAGTAGGAAGGAATCGGTACTGATAAAAAGAATAGCTCCCAGTGGCATCTGTAGGGAGAACATGACATGAAATTGTGTGTTCCCCTTTGACTTACAGAGTCTATAATATCCTTCTCACTGGCAGTTTGAGGAAGTCTAGAATTCTGTGAAATGCCAATGCTCCAGTGTAGGAGGAGGCGAACCATCCGTTGCAGGGTTCCTCCAAAGCCATTGGCAGTCAATGCAGATCATGGGGTGTTGGGGGCGGGGTGTTTGAAGTCATGGTCAAGTCCAAAGAGGGCCAGATGGCAGGGAGTCTAAAGTTATTCCTCCGTTTTGGCTTTTCTCAACGCAGTGTATTTTCTCCATCTCCCTTCTGCACAGCTGTCCCCTCCCCTGTTCCACACCTGCCTTCCACCTTCTAACCTGTCAGAATGGGACTTTTGACTTCCTTTGTAGATGCTGCTTTTAGGTCCTTGTGTGAACTGAAGAAATTAGACCTTTCCTACAACAGGGAGCTGGGTGGGGGTTTTGAAGACTCATCAGCTCAGTTGGCCACGTTGGAGCATCTAGAAGTTTTGGATCTTCACCAGTGCTCGCTAACAGCAGATGATGTGATGTCACTGAGTAAGTGTGAATGATAGAGCCAAGGAAGAACTTTCGGAACCTCAGTATATGTTTGGAACTTGCCAAATTTGAGGTGTCCCCTGAAACTTACTTAAACTTACCAAAAACATCAAATCATAAAAGTTCTGTGAATGCCCCAATATTGTATTTGGCATATATTACGTGCTCAGTAAATGTTAGTGAATCTAAATTCCTCCTATACATGTTTGTAAATGATGGATGTGGCACTTGGTGGAGAACATTTTGAATATATGTTACTGTTTAGAAATGACTCTGTTAGTCACAAAGTTTGTTTCAAACAGGGATGTAGAGAGAAAGCCAAACAAAGGGCGTTGAGGCTTGCTGACTAACATGTGAAGTCAAGCCCCTTAGGTACAAATGAAATTACAGAAGAATTTAGGGTGGTGCATCATGGGTGTACATTTTAACTTTAGGTGCCTGTGCTTAACTTCCCACTGTAGGCATAATCCTGTAATTATAAAACATAATGTATAGATGCAGTTCCCCATAACAAACAGCCCAAGTGCAGCCTTGCCATTAAGGGTTTTACTCCATCTGTGGCCACAATAAACTTTCAAAATACCTCCAGGATCTCACCACAGCTCACCATCTAGACCTTTACCACTCTGGTTCAGGGTACTGTCATCTCATGCCCAGATTATTACGAGTCCAAATGGTCTCACTGTTCCTCCTCTGTCGTTCTGACTTTGTTCCCTAGCCTTCCCTTCCTTGACTCCACCCCAGCCACTTGTGTGGGCTGACCCTCTGTCCCTGGGGCCTTTGTCCTTGCTCCCTCTCCAGATCACGGGCCCCTCCTGTGTCGGGAGCCCCTTCAGCATCTCTCCTTTGTTCAGGTACGGGGGTTGGTACATAGTTGGCCCCCAGGAAATGATTGTTGAATATGATCGAATGAATGAATCAATTAAGAACAAGAATAAAAAGAATTTTTTAATTGTTTTTAGTACAATTTGGGAAGGAAAAGAGTAAAATAGGTTCTTAGGTCTAACATCTGTATTTTAGACCTGCTAAATTACATTTGGGATTCATGCCTCAATTTGGAAAACAGAAAATTTCAAGGCTTTCATAAGGATTTTAAAGGAACAAAACAATTCGTTTCTGAGCTCCAGGTGGAGCGTACGGGGTATCACCATCCCCTTTACTTCTGAGCATCATACCTGGAGGAAACACTTTTGAATTATCAGCGACCAGATTCCAAAGAAGGAATTTCCCTTGGTTCAACGGAGTAACATCAATATCACCTCTCATCTTGTTACTCAGAGGAAGGTTCCAGGGCCAGAGGGACCTCAGCTGTTACCAATAGCCTAACAGGGGGATCAGCTTCTCTTACCAGATTCGATGCCACCAACACAGGTGAAAGGCCCTGGAAAGCTAATGATTTATTTAAGAACTGTAGCAAATTGCATCGTTCTACTGCCTAATTTTGAAAAGATGGAAATGAAAATACATTCCGTTTATAGCTTAGGAGGCTAAATAACTCACCATTCTTTTATCTGATCATTCTAGATAGCTCCAAAGAAATGGAATTACAGATCGTTTAGCCAACAACTTTTGATTAATCATCTAGTTGTACGAGGCACTGTGCCACGGGCTAAGGGAAATTCACAGTCTGGGAGCCTCCGTCTGGTAGGGACAGGAATAAACCAACGACATGGTGAAGAGGAAGAAACCACGACATCTGTTGGCATCCCACCTGCCTGCCTTCCTTTCCTTCCCATCTTCCTTCCCTCCTTCCACAAATGTCTGTTCCTCCAGTGTTCTAGATTCTTCTGCACACTCTGGGGAGGAAGCAGGCCCTACAGACAGAGCTCACCTTCAGTGGGGGAGGACAGAAAGCAAACACATAAGCAAAAATAAATAGGGTGATGTGATAGTGACCAAGGGCTTCTGTGGCTTAGGGGGCCCTGGAAGGCTCTGCGGAGGTGAGCCGGCCCATCAGAGATCCCAGCATACTTACCTATACCAAGTCCTTTTTTTCTTCCCAATGACCCTGTGAAGTACGGCTGTTGTTGTTATTATCATGGCGATAACTGAGGTTCGGAGAGGCTAAGTAACTTCCCTGAAATCACACAGTTCTTTAGCAGCAGAGGCAGGATTAGAACCCAGTTCTGTCTCCAAGGTCTTTGCTCTTAATGTCTAGCCTGGAGAGAGGCTTGGAAGTAGAACGGCCCAAGCTTCTTTTACACACTGGGGAGCGTGGCTGGTGTGCGTGGGTGTAAGGGACAGAGACTGTGGGACCGTGGGACCCAAATATCCAGAAGACTCTTTGTGAGATGGTGCCTAAAACATGTCACTGCTGACATTTTAACAGCCCAGGTAATCCCTTTACTCTCGAGTCTTCAAGAGTTGGATTTATCTGCCAACAAAAAGATGGGCAGCTCTTCTGAAAACCTCCTCAGCCGGCTCCGATTTTTACCAGCACTGAAGTCCTTACTCATCCACAGCTGTGCTCTGGAGAGTGAGACTTGTACCGCCCTTGGTAAGAGAATTCCCCAGGCCCCTGCGTGCATGTACAGTAACACATGAGTCCACATATGCCCTACACAGGAATTTCATGCCAAGCCTCTGCCAGAGGCAAAGTTATGAATCACTAATTTGTCTTCTTCTCAGGAAATGGGCTTTCTTAAAAGTGGCTTTCTGAGGGCCAGATGAATGATTCTGGCTGGCATTTGCAAATTTAACATTTAAAATCCAAAGTGTATGTAGCCAACTCTGGAGGCCCATATCCATGGTAACTTGGGATTTCACTGAGGTGCCAATATAAACTGGATTGCTGGGAGTCTGATGGGAAAAGAGAGGCAATTGCCAGGGTGTGAGCCCAGTTGACTGCCCAGCACCCACTTTCCAGCAGGATTTATTGTCCTCTCTAGGAACCTGGGCCTGCTGGAAGGTCACAGACACAGTCCACCTTAGATCAAGGGCTTACAGAATCTGGAATGTCTGCCTCTTCGGGGGCAAGAATATCGTCTGCAAGTAGAGGGAGATATTTTGAGGCAAAGGCACTTTGCAGTATTTTGCAGAATCCGCCACCCAGGCAAAGAACTTTGGGCACACATTGCTGGATGGGGGTCCCCAACGCCACCTTTAGGTTCAGTGATTCGCTAGGAGGACTCACAGGTCTCAGCATAGAGTCGGACTCACTTTTGGGATTTATTACAACAAAAGGATACAAAGCAAAATCAGCAAAGGGAACGGGGCATGGCACAAAGTTTAGAGGAAACCAAGTACAAGCTTCCAAGAGACCTCGGCCTGTGGAGTCACACGGGACACACTTCCTTCTCCCAGCGACTTCTGACAACACGTGTGAAATGATGCCTTCCAGGGAAGCTCACCTGAACCTTCCGTCTAGGGCTTTTACTGGGCGGTGGTCACACAGGCACCCTCTCTACCGAAATTCCAGAGCATAGAAGGAAAGCTGGTGTTCCGCATAAGTCATGGAATTTGTAGACACACAGTGGAGGCATAGTGAGCCACTCTTATTAGGTAAGGAATGGCTGGAACAGAGCCAAACCGCAAGTGCCCAGGTGCCACCAACCTGGCCAGGAAGCCTTTAGGGGGTCGCAGCTTCAGGCCTGGCAGGTTAGCTCTTGTTTTGCACACACACACACACACACACACACACAGCCTAGAGAGCGTGCATTCTGGGGCTTCCTGGATAAGGATGAAAACAGAGTCCTTCTCTCTGACCCCCAAGTATTGTGTGTCAGTTGACACCTTCTAGAAAAACGAATTGTACCATGGACCAGACACGGATTATTATTATTAATGAAATAAGCATACTCTAGTAATAAAATAAGCTATTTATTGCTATCTATTAACAGAAATGAATGCATATAATTCACACCAAATTCTAAGACCTCTATGTTTAAGGCACTCTTGCCTCCCTTTTAGCCCCAGTACTTTGTCCCACCCACACAGACTTGGTCCTTGCTGGGAACTGCGCCCACCCCTCCCCCAGCCTTGCCCATCTCCTTGTGCCCACGTCTGGGTAGGGAAAATAGCACGATATGTACCTTTCAGATCTGGAGTTCTTAACCTGGGTCAGAGAGTCAGTCTAGAGCTGTGCCTGGGGGAGGGGACCGTGAACTCCCGGCAATTGATAGTAATTATTTTGTGGGGGACAGATGTGGTGCATTTTCTGGCTCCAAAGCACCTGGGATCAGGCTGCCTAAAATCAAATCCTGGCCCTGGCTCTTGTGACCGGAGAGAGTTAACACCCCCGTGCTCCAGTCTCCTTGTCTATAAAATGTGAAATGGAATAATGGTACATACTTCATGGGGTTGTAAGAACTAAATGTGTTGACACATGTAAAGTTCTTGAAAAGGTACCTGGCACATCGTAAATGCTCAGTGAGTGTTAGTTGTTATGGGGAGAGAATCTATAAATTTCATTTACAAAGTAAATTGGATCTTATCACTACCCAGTTTAAAAAGACACAATGGTGGCCCATAGCATCTCCGGTAAAATCCACATTCCTTCATGGGGTCTAAAAGGCCCAGGTGACCTGGCCCTAGTACCTCTTGGCCACTCTCGCCCTTGCTCCCTGAACAAGCCTCAGCTGGCTTCTTTCAGTTCCTTCCTGTCACTGAGTAATCCCTTGTCTCCATGTCTTCCTGTTCTCTGGATGGAACGCCCCCCCCCGCCCCCCCCCGCCCCCTGTTCTTTCCTGGGGAGCTCTGACTTCAGGTCTCAGCATAAAGGTTCCCTGTTAAGACAGCATCTCTGATCTAAATGAGGAGGCCCTGTATCTTTTTTATAGCCTTTATTAGAATTTCTAATTATGTATTTATTTGTGTGTTTTTCTCAGTGTATGTATTTCCCACAGTTTATAACCTCCTTGAAGTCAGAGATTGCTTTTATTCTTCACTGCACACCCTAACCCCATTTTAGGTGTTTCTGCATATTAGTTAAGCAAGTAAACAAACTAACTTTTCAAAGGGGTCTGTAATGCCCAGAATGGTTAGGTAAACACATATCCACATCACACACACACACACGACACATTACACTGTTCAGACTAACGTTCAGTTAGGAAAGTTCCACAAAAAATAAATTTAGGGACAACATGATGTCCCTAGTTGGAAAAAGTTGGATATTTTTTGAAGAAAATTTTGTTTTTAATTTTGTGTCTTTTGCCATCAGAAGATAGAGCTCTTCCCAATTATTGCTGCATAATGAATCACAATCAAGTAAATATTACATTAAATTATATAATCTGAAATAAATGTATCATTCAATTTGAATTAAGAAGTAAATCAGCTCTTCCACAGGAGGCCTACATGCCGCCACTGGGGCCGCTGCCATGTCTCTAGTGATCCCTGAGAAGTTCCAGCACATTTTGCGAGTACTCAACACCAATATCGATGGGCGGCGGAAAACAGCCTTTGCCATCACTGCAATTAAGGGTGTGGGGCGAAGATATGCTCATGTGGTGTTGAGGAAAGCAGACATCGATCTCACCAAAAGGGCCGGAGAGCTCACTGAGGATGAGGTGGAACGTGTGATCACCATTATGCAAAATCCTTGCCAGTATAAGATCCCAGACTGGTTTTTGAACAGACAAAAGGACGTGAAGGATGGAAAGTACAGCCAGGTCCTGGCCAATGGTCTGGACAACAAACTTCGTGAAGACCTGGAGAGACTGAAGAAAATTAGGGCCCACAGAGAACTGTGCCACTTCTGGGGACTTTGTGTTCAAGACCAGCACACCAAGACCACAGGGCGCCGTGGCCGCACCGTGGGTGTGTCCAAGAAGAAATAAATTTGTAGGCCTTGTCTGTTAATAAAATAGTTTATACACCTAAAAAAAAAAAAAAGTAAATCAAGCAGGGGCACCTGAGTGGCTCAGCTGGTTAAGTGTCTGACGCTTGATTTTGGTTCAGGTCATAATCTCAGGGTCATGAGATCAAGCCCCACATGGAGCCTGCTTAAGATTCTCTCTCTCTTGCCCTCTGCCCTTCTCCCGCCACCCCCCCGACACTCTCATGCTCTCTCTCCCCTTCCCTCCAAAAAAAGAAGTCAGTCAAGTAAACATATAATTCTCCATATCACTTTTAGAAGAAAAAGTTCCATTTCTTATTGGTAGGTCTCTGCACTATGCAGGTGGGAGGGATTTTCTTAATAGATATCAAAAAAGGATATATATTTGCCATTTAGACGCCTGTTATTCTTTAGAAAGAAGAGTGGAGTTAAAGTATAATTAACTCTATCTTAGGAATAAGTTGTTAGGGTTAATTTCAGCATTAGGGGCAACTGAGAATTAAGCAAAATCTTTTTAAACCTCATTTAAAAATTTCTCCAAAACCCACTAGTTCTCTTCTTTGTTTCTGTAACTGCAGGTAGGTTGACACAAACGCCTTTGGGTGTTTCAGAGTCCTGAGGAGGCTTGGCCCCATCTCTGAACTTCAGCCATGACTGAACACAGGAATATGTAAAGCCAGGACATACTCTGGAAATCTCAGCTAGCTGTCCAAATCCTCTGCCTCTTTCTCCTTCCTAGATGGGAACTAAAGGAGAAAAATCCCAGTTGATAGTGAATTCCACTTAATCAAGTTTTACTTTTCTAAAGTTTCCAACATTTCTCCCAGTTAAAACTAGACAGTGTAAGTTGTGGTCATGAATTTCGGGCAAAAGAAAACAGTCTCTGTAACTTTCTTATCTCAGTTATATTAATATGTTGCCCCAGGTTCCTCAGTTTCAAAGAGGTAAAACCTAACGATTGCTCTTCTATTATCAATTTTAGCTGAAGCCTCCACTTACCTCCCTGCTCTGGAAATATTCGACCTTTCTTGGAATAAATGTGTTGGTGGCAACCTGAAGCTGCTTCTGGAAACACTGAAGTCCTTAGCGTCCCTTCGAGTGCTGAGACTGAGCAGCTGTGGCCTGGTGACAGAAGACGTGGCTCTCCTGGGGTGGTATCTACTGGTCCCAAAGTAGTCCCGTCCCGCGGAGCACAATGTGCCTGTGCCGCAGGGGAAGGGCGGCGGGGAGCGGCGCCAGGCCTGTGGCTGAGCCCTCTGCGCAGCTTCCCTTCTTTCTCTCTGACATCTGCTTAGGAGAGAGCTGGCAAAAACGAAGAAGGGCAGTTCTCAAGCCAGGAAGACAGTGGAGGGCATTTCACAAAGGGAGACATGAGCATAGACGTGGCAGTGGGTCATTCCAGCTTCTGTTCCTTGCCTTCCGGGCACAGGGGAAGGATTGTCCTGTTCCCTGGCCAGCCCAGTGTTACTCAAACTTCGGTTACCTACAGTCTGCTTTCACAAAGTTTGCCCTGTCCACGTGGTACCCACACTGTTACTTCATTTTTTCTTTATATTGATTCTTTAACCTAAATGTTTTTATTTAAACAGGAAACTCATCATCAACATAACTGAAATACAGGAATCACTTCTCATAGACAGACATTATTAGACTGTTGCCAGCTGAAGGCTTTGAATAGAGGTTCATTCTCTCTCTGTTACAGAAAGGGGAAGAGAGGGCTTTAAAAGCATATTAGCATCAATCTGACACTTTCTCCATGTCAATTTAGAAAGGTGGAAAGAGATTTGAATAAAGAATAACTTTTGCACTGCAGGATTCCAGAGTATATAATACCTTTCCTAAATATCCCCTAAAATCACCCCTGTTATGTCCACTTCTCAGTGGGAAACAGTGCATTGGAGAGTACCTCTGTGTCTCTCATCTACCCTTGCGCCTGCATCCCCAGCACTATGCGGCCATCTACTCCCAGACCTCTGAAGCAATGAGCACCCCCCCAAAAATTGTTTTGTGAATAACATGTATTACTATGTGTGGTTAGCCATTACCACTTTTATACTGCTTGGGTTATTTTAACAAGCATTCTTTAAGAATTAATCACTTGTAGCTTTTTTTTCTTTTAAAAATAACAACACTTTCTCGGGCGCCTGGGTGGCTCAGTTGGTTAAACGACTGCCTTCGGCTCAGGTCATGATCCTGGAGTCCCGGGATCGAGTCCCACATCGGGCTCCCTGCTCAGCGGGGAGTCTGCTTCTCCCTCTGACCCTCTTCCCTCTCGTGCTCTCTATCTCTCATTCTCTCTCTCTCAAATAAATAAATAAAATCTTTAAAAAAAAAATAACAACACTTTCTCAGAGTAAACTACAAAAGTATTTCCATAACCTATGATCCTATTACTCAGATTTTTAAAATATAGTAAGTATAAAATAGTGAAATATAATAATTAGGATACTCACACGATTGGAAAATTCAAACAGTACAGGAAAGTTAAAACAATGTCTAGGATTTGTTTTAAAATACAGTGATATGATCATCTCAAAAATCATATAATCATCTCAGGACACGCAGAAAAAGCATTTGGCAAGATTCAACATCGATTTGTGATAAAAACTCTCAACAAAGTGGAATTAGAGGGAACATACCTCAACAGAATAAAAGTCATATATGTCAAACCTACAAAACAAACAAAAGAAATAAAATGAAAAGAGATAAAAAAACAAAAACAAACAAAAACAAAAAACCTACAGCTAACATCATACTCAATGGTGAAAAATGGAGAGGCTTTTCCTCTAAGGTCTGGAACAAGAGAAGGATGTTTACTATTGCCACTTTTATTCAACATAGTACTGGAAGTCCTAGCCACAGCAGTCAGACAGGAAATAAAAGGCATCCAAATTGGTAAGGAAGAAGTAAAACTTTCACTATTTGCAGATGACTTGGTACGATATCTAGAAAACCTAAAGGCTCCACCAAAAACTATTAGAACTGATAAATGAATTCAGTAAAGCTGCAGGATACAAAATCAATATACAGAATTCTGTTGCATTTTTATACACTAATAATAAAGCAGCAGAAAGAGAAATTTAAGAAAATAATCCCATTTAAAATTACACCAAAAATAATAAAATACCTAGCAATAACTTAACCAAGGAAGTGAAAGACCTGTACTCGAAAACTATAGAACTCTGATGGAAGAAATTGAAGATGACACAAACAAATGGAAAGATATTCCATGCTCATGGGCTGGGAGAACAAATATTGTTAAAATGTCCATACTACCTAAAGCAATCTACAAGTTTAATGCAATCCCTATCAAATTTCAACAGCATTTTTCGCAGAACTAGAACAAATAATCCTAAAATTTGTATGGAACCACAGAAGATCCCAAATGGCCAAAACAATCAAGAAAAAAGAACAAAATTGGAGGTATCACAATCCCAGATGTCAAGATATACTACAAAGTTGTAGTAATCTAAACAGTATGGTACTGGCACAAAAGCAGACACCTGGATCAATAGAACAAAGACCAAAGGAAAAAAATCTATGCGTATATGTTCGAGTAATCTATGACAAAGGAGGCAAGAATATACAATGGGGGAAAAGACAGTCTCTTCAATAACTGGTGCTGGGAAAACTAAACAGCTACACGCAGAAGAATGGAACTGGATCACTTTCTTACACCACACACAAAAACTCAAAATGGATTAGAGACCTAATCTGAGACCTACAACCATAAAACTCTTGGAAGAAAACATAGGCAGGGATCTCTTTGACATTGGCTTTAGCAACACTTCTAGATGTCTCCTCGGGCAAAGGAAACAAAAGCAAAATTAAACTATTGGAACTACACAAAATGAAAAGCTTTTGAACAATGAAGGAAACCATCAAAAAACATGAAAAAGCAACTTACTGAATGGGAGAAAATACTTGCAAGTGATATATTTAATAAGGCATTAATATCCAAAATATATAAAGAATTTATACAATTCAACACCAAAAAAAAAAAACCCAAATAATCCAATTTAAAAATAGGCAAAGGAACTGCAGAGACATTTTTCCAAAGAAGACATATAGATGACCAACAGACACATGAAAAGATTCTCAACATCACTAATCATCAGGGGAATGCAAATCAAAATCACAATGAGAGAGCGGCTGGCTGGCTCAGTCGGTAGAGCATGTGACTCTTGATCTTAGGGTTGTATGTTTGAGCACGACATTGGGTATAGAGAATACTTAAAAATAAAATCTTTAAAAAAAAAAACCCTACAACACTATGAAGTATCACCTTCAGAATGGCTAAAATAAAAAAGACAAGAAATAGCAAGTCTTGGAGAGGATGTGGAAAAAAAGTAACCCTCATGCACTGTTGGTGGAAGTGTAAATTGGTGCAGCCATTCTGGAAAACCATATGGAGGTTCCTCAAAAAATTAAAAACAGAAATAGCAAACGATCCAGTAATCCTACCACTGGGTACTTAGCCAAAGAAAAGAAATTTTTGTTTGTTTTGGAACAAATTTGGAAAGATATATGCACCCCTATGTTTATACCAGCATTATTTACAATATCCAAGATATGGAAGCAACCTAAGTATCCACAGATAGATGAATGGGTAGAGAAGAGTGGTACACACACACACACATGAATATTACTCAGACATAAAAAAGAATGAGATCCTTTTTTTAAGATACACACATTTTATTTATTTATTTTTAAAGTAAGCTTTATGCCTAACATGGGGCTTAAAGTCATGACCCAACAATGGGATCATTGACTCAACAATCTTGAACTTTTGTAGAGTCACATGCTCTATAGACTGAGCCAGCCAGGTGCCCCGAGAATGAGATCCTGCCACTTGTGACAACGTGGTTGGGTCTAGAGGGTATAATCCTAAGTGAAATAAGTCAGAGAAAGACAAATACTATATGATTTCATTTATATGTGGAATCTAAAATACAAAAAAAAAAAAAAGACAAAAAATGGACTCTTAAATGCAGAGAACAAACTTATAGTTACCAGAGAGGAGGTGGGTGGGGAATGGGTGAAATAGATAAAGGGAACTAAGTCGTACAAAAATAAGTCATGCAGATGAAAAGTATAGTGTAGAGAATACAGTCAGTAATATTGTAGGATAAATAAATAAAAATAAAATACAGTTATATCTCAGAGATACGGTGGATTTGGTTCCAGACTACCACAATAAAGCAAATATTGCAAAAAGGCAAGTCAAGTACATTTTCTGGTTTCCCAGTACATACAAAAGTTATGTGCACATACAAAAGTTATGTCTATTAAGCGTGCAGTTCATTATGTCTAAAAAAATATACATACCTTAGTTAAAAAATACTTTATTGTGGGGCGCCTGGGTGGCTCAGTCAGTTTAGCATCTGACTCTTGATCTCAGCTCTGGTCATGATCTCAGGGGTGTGAGATTGAGCCCCACTGGGCATGGAGCCTGCTTAGGATTCTCTCTCTTGCCTTCCCTCTGACCCTACTCCCCCTAAAAAAAAAAAAATACTTTCTTGCTAAAAAGTGCTAACCATCATCTGAGCTTTCAGCAAATCCTAATCACAGATCATCATAACAAATAAGGAAAAAGTTTGAAATATTGTGAGAATTACCAAAATGTGACACAGAGACACAAAGTGAGCAAATGCTGTTGGAAAAATGCCTGATGCAGTGTTGCCACAAACCTTCAATTTGTTAATTTAATAAAAGCAACATCTGTGAAGCACAGTAAAGCAAAGTACAACAAAATGAGGAATGCCTGTACTAAAAAAAAAAAAAAGTAGAAGGGCGGGAAGTAGGTGGAACAAGATTGGTGTGATGGAGGTAAGTGTTGAAGCTCAATGATGGGGACATGGGAGTTTATGCTCCTATTCTGTCTGCTTTTGGTACCCTTGCAAATTTCGATAGTAGAAAAAATTGTAAAAAGGAAAAGCATGTACATTGTCTTTAACAGTCAGGTCTTGAGAACATGGTGAGTAATGCTGCAGAAAGGAAGAGACACACATCAACATGGACACCTATGAATGGAGTGCAGCTCTTGAGTGTACGGAATGCTAAGCTTTCGAATGCACCAAACTGTGGGCAAAGGAAAGCAATGGGGATGGAGCATGCTGCTTGCTCTGGGAACCAGGACACATGAAGAATGACTGAAAGATTCAGGGCACAATTAATCCTAAAGGGAGAGAACTTGAGGGGAACTGACTGTCGTCCAACATTGCAAGCCTGGTGTGAGGAAGGAGCTGAAGTGTTCAGCAGGCTGCGGGGCAATCGGTGAACATCACTGGAAGGCAGAAAGGGACCCAAAGGATGGGGGCTTTCTCCTGCTGAGAGCCACCTCACTCTATCGGGGCAACCAGAAAGGGTGCCTCAGGCGGGAGCCGGCTGGTGACCAGTAGGGAAGCTGTGAAAGAGTCATCTCTGATCATTGATCTGGAGGTTGAATGAGGAGACCTCCAGGGTCCCTGCCAGCTCTGAGATCCCATGCTACTCCTCTGATCTCTGTGGTTCATCACTGCATTTGGCTGGCAAGGGAAGCATGCGCTGCTTGCTTTGGGTAGCTCTCCCATACCCTCTTACAAGCATTACTATCTTTTCTTAGCTTCATCACTATTATTTATTAAGTGCCATTTTAGGTAGTACTGTGATATGTGCTCTTCAAAGGGAAAATTGTTCTGTGAATTGGAGGTCCCTAAGGTGACTTAGAAATTACCCACATGTTGGGGTGCCTGGGTGGCTCAGTTGGTTAAGTGTCTGCCTTCGGCTCAGGGCATAATCTCAGGGTCCTGGGATCGAGTCCCATGTCGGGCTCCCTGCTCAGCGAGGAACCTGCTTCTCCCCCGCCCCTCCCTCTGCTTGTGCTCTCTCTCTCAAATAAATAAAATAAAATAAAAAAGAAATTACCCACGTGTATTTTGCACGTGAAAAGTGCTCAGTTAAATACTTGTTGAATGAAGAATGACTGAATGAGCAGTGAAAAATTAAACAGTATTAAACAGCAAGATGACTATTTATAAATGGTCCTCAGTTAAAGCCAGAGAGCCATCACTCCTCACATTTAACTAGAGAGAGTCTGCAGGAAGAGCTGGGACTCTAGTGGAGCCAAGAGCAAAAAAGATATTCTTTGGGTTGGGATTTGGAAAGAGGAAAAAAAACAAAACAAAACAATTTTCAAGCTGTATCTGGGATGTGCAGAGAATAGATTTGGTACTAAAGTGATTTCAGATGTCCTGAATAAAGCTGCTCGCTAATAACAAATCATTACTAAGCACCAATATTGTCATTTCTAATCTTGGAAGGACTGTGTTATTGGAAGTGGCAAACAGCCACAGGAGAAAGTACTCGTGCATTTTAGCATTTAGTGTGATTTTATTTTTCAGCATCAGTAATACACACAGGTCACCTGGCCAAGCTACGGGAGCTCCACCTGAGTTATAATGACAGCATCTGTGATGCAGGATGGGCCATCTTCTGCCAAAACGTGCGGTTCCTCACAGAGTTGACCGAGCTGGATATTAGCCTTCGGCCATCAACTTCTCGGGATTGCGGACAATGGTTTAGACACTTGTTATGTGCTGTTGCCAAACTTTTGGAGATCACAGAGATAGGAATGAAAAGATGGAAACTCCCCACTTCACAGGAGGAAGAACTAGAACATTTTCACCAAGATCACAGACGCAGCATTCACTTTGACCTTGGTGAGTTTCAGTAAGCTGATTTCCCAAGGCTTAACTAAGCTATAAACCATTACCTGGAGGAGGAAAAGAGCATGAATGAATTTTAGTGTAATCAAAGGAGTATCAGCTTCTGGGATGTTTAATGGGATTGATGTTACAAAAGTCTTACAAATATGTATATGGTAATCTAATATAAGTACAACTTTACTTTCTAATGACAAGGATGACATGTTTCCATGGAGTTTCATTTATTTTGGATATATAGTTCACTTACTGTTTAGAAGGCCTGCCAAAAATGTTTAGATCCTGGTAACACATTTCCTTTTTTCTTGACCTGGAATTTTCTGTCTCTTCTTTTCCTACATGATAAATGTTCTAAATATAAGCATGTGTGAATGTGTGTATGTGTGAGTGTGTGTGTGAAATTCTAATGTGAAAGGCACTAGCTATGATAGTTTCATTCTATCTTTACTATTACATATGTCTTTATGTAATCTATTTGCATTTTTGTCCCAAAGTATACCTTCCATGGTTTATTATTTTATGTTCTGGTGCTTTTTATCTCAGATATAAACCATGAACACTAATAATGGTCACAGACATATAATTCTTAGTTAAAAGTGGTCAAAACTTCGAAACCCAGTATCAAAAACACATCTTATTAAAATAAAGTAAAATCTTTTATTGCTAAAATAAAATAACATTAGCTCTGGGCATTTTTTGGCATGGAATATTCTATGTAAAATCTATTTAATTCATTGATTAAAGTTTTTGTCTTGCTCTAAGTGATTTTTGAAATTTCTGGTTATCTTTTGTAGGAGCATGAAACTCATTACACAGCAGAAGTGTTTGTTTGCTCACACATTTCTATTCTGATACACTCTAAACAAATTATGCTTGGCTTCTTGTTGCTACACTGGTAATTTATATTGCAATTATTGCTTGAAAGACATGTAGAATTTGAAATCATTATTACTCCAAAAGAAAGTCATCAGAATGAGAAGGTTTTGGGTAGTGTAGATGGGGATGTTTTAGGCAATCATGGTATTCTTCATTCTCTGGGCATTCCCATGAATTCCATGAGTACCTCTGCTCATATGTTCCCATGAACATATGCAAAGCCTATGAACAACTAGCCCAAAACCGGGAACAGTTCAATATCCTTCAATGGGTGGATGGTTAAACAAATTATGGTACTAGGTGATACTACTCAGCAACAAATTGATCCATGCAACAATGTGGATGGACGAGTTATGTGGAGTAAAAAAGCCAATCCCCAAAGGTTACACATTATGTGATTCCATTTACATGACATCCTTGAAATAACAAAATTATAGAGCTGGAGAAAAGGTTAGGGATCGGGAGATGGGGTGGACAGTAGATGTGACTAAAAGGAATAGCACGAGGGAGATTTGTGGTGATGGCTACATAAAGCTTACATGTGACAAAACCGCATTGAACTACACACACATACCCACGCACACACCTAAGTGCACCTACAACCCATAGAATCCAAATAAGCTCGGTTGATGGCACCAATATAGATTTTCTGGTTTTGGTATCGTATTAGAGTTATGCAAAATGTCCACACTGAGGGAGGGTGAAGGGTGCATGGACCTCCCTGTCCATTTCTTTGGAACTTCCTATGAGTCTCTATTTCAAAATTAAAAGTTTTAGGGGTGCCTGGCTGGCTCAGTCCAAAACGCATACAACTCTTGATCTCGGGGTCATGAGTTGGAGCCCCACGTTGGGGGTAGAGATTACTTAAATAAATAAACTTAAAAAAAAGTTTTAGGGGGTGGGGGGATGGGTTAGCCTGGTGATGCGTATTAGAGAGGGCACGTTCTGCATGGAGCACTGGGTGTTATGCACAAACAATGAATCATGGAACACTACATCAAAAACTAATGATGTAATGCGTGGTGATTAACATAATAAAAAATTTTAAAAAAAGATAATATTCTCAAGAAAGATCTCAATGCTCTAAATACAAGGTATACTAAATTAAATTCCAATTAAAACTCCAATGGAGTCTTAAAGATTTTAATACATAAATTATAATGAAATTTATCTAGAAGAATAAATGTATTTAAAAAATAAGAAAAAAAAGTTTTAAAGTAGACAGGATAGTACAATGAACCTCCATTTACCTATCACATGCATCTACAATTATCAACTTATGGCCAATCCTGTTTCATTGGGATCCCCCACACTTAACCTCTACCTGATATTATTCTGCTGCAGTTCCCAGGCATCATATCATTTTATCTATAAATATTTCAATAAAGTGAGAATCTTTATTTTTATACATAATCACAATTCTGTGAATAATTTTAGTGTGGTGGGCATCTAATTCCTACATATTTTGCTTTCTTAATCCAACAGGGTTCATTACCTCAATTCATTATAGAATTATTTCCTATTTTTCTTTGTGGTGTTTCCTTTTACATCCTTTTTTCCTTTCTTATCTTTTGGAGAATTCTTTCCTTTCTTTAGCAATTTTTGCAGTTCTTCAAATCTCCCCAATCCTTTCTGGACCATTGTTCCACGCCACCACGCCTGAATCTAAAAACAAGATAAACCCAAACAGCATTAGCTGGTATCACTTAGGACTGGGGAAGGTTATCTCTTCATTCTGGTATGTAGTCTTAAAGATGTGAAGAGCGGGGCACCTGGGTGGCTCAGTCGTTGGGTGTCTGCCTTCAGCTCAGGTCATGATCCCAGGGGCCTGGGATCGAGCCTCACATCGGGCTCCCTGCTCCGCAGGAAGCCTGCTTCTCCCTCTCCCACTCCCCCTGCTTGTGTGCTCTCTCTCACTGTGTCTCTCTCTGTCAAATAAATAAAGTCTTAAAAAAAAAAAAAGATGTGAAGAATGGAATATTAGAACTCTACACCTTATTTTCTCTCTCAATTGGCCAGTCATCCTGGCAAATGTAAAAAATAAAAATTTTAAAAAATCAGTGCTTTTATGTCCCAGGCACTGCTGTAGACATTTAGGGAAGAGCAGTTAAATGCCAATGTCCCAGACCTCACACTGCAGCGAGAAGAGACAAACACAGGAATGTATGATTTGATAGTTGGTAGTAAATGCCACGGAGACAATAGTGCACAGTAAGGGGAATCAGGAGGGCCTGCATCTGCCCTCCCTCTCATCACTGGACTGCTGGGCTTCTACCTACAGCCAGCCCCCACTCCTTCTGAGATCCTATTCCCCCCACCTACTCAGAAACATCCCTGCCCTAGTTGTAGGCTCTGAACCTCCCGGTGCCTCCCCACTTCTCTCTGAATAAAAGCTCAAGTCCTTACAATGGGCTTACAAGGCCCTATCTGATCTGCTCCCTTCCTCTTGACCACACGGACCTCTTTGCTCCTTCCCCTAGCTCACTCTGCTCCAGCTGTGCGGGCCTGCTCACAGTCGGACACACCAAGCACAACCTCAGCTTCAGGCCTTTGCTTTTGCCGCTGCTTCTGCCTGGAATGCTCTTCCCAATATTCAGATGGTTTACCCTCCGGCTCTTCAAGTATTTGCTTAGTTGGCATGGCTGTGGACTGAACTGTCTCCCCTCATCCCCAACTCATATTAAAAGCCCTAACCCCCAAAGGTGATTGTCTTTGGAGATGGGCCCTTGGGTGGTAATTAGGCATGGATGTGCCCATGAAGGTAGGGTCTTCATGATGGGATTAGTGCTCTTATAAGAGACCCCAGACAACTTACTCTTCTATCTTGTGAGGGCACAGCAAGAAGACAGCCACGTGTGAGACAGAAAGCTCTCACCAGAGGCTGACCATGCTGGCACCCTAATCCTGGACCTCTCGCCTCTAGCACTGTGAGAAAATTTCTGTTGTTTGAGCCACCCAGTCTATGGTATAGTGTTATGGAAGCCAGAGCTGACTAAGCCAGTCATTTTTCCAATGAGGCCAACCCTGACCATCTCATTTAAGTCGAACCCCCCCAACCCCCCAACACACACACACGCACGCGCACACACACACACACACACACACGACTTCTGGGCATCTCAGTTCCCCTTAGCTTGAACTTTTTTCCAATGCCACTTATCACTTTCTAACAGACTATATAATTTTATGTTTTATATTTCATGTTTTTTTTTCCATCATACTAGACATTAAGCAATATAAGGATAGAAAAATTTGTTTTGTTCACTGATGTACTTTCGGTGCCTACAGCAGTGCCTGGCACATAGCAGAAGCTCAGTAAGGATTTGCTGAATGAATGAACAAATGAATGAATGAGGTGGGTGAGGGATGCTGTTTTATATAAGGTGGATCAAGGGTAGGTATGAGGATATTTGAGCGGGGACTGAACTAGGTGAGGGCCGGAGTCTTGTCCATATCTGGGGGAAGCATCGCTGGGCAGAGGGAGGAGCAGGCTTGGACTTTGGGAAAACACCAAGGACCCGTTTGTGACGTGAAAATGGGACGGAGGAGATGGGGAGTGAGATAAGCCGCACCGGAGTTCGGATGCTGTTTTTCCAGGGGAACAGTACCGCCCCCTAGAGGCATTCTAGACTTTCGGGGCTTTTTGTTGTCTTGAGGTTTAGTGGTCTTCAATTGTGGAACGTGCACCCTAGTGCACAAAGACTTTCCCAGGGTGTGCGTGCTTGCATAGTTTGGAGGCAATCCATATCCAGAGCTTCAACTTCCACATGCACCCCTTCCTACAAGGTATCTGCCGAGGAACACAACTGCTGGTTCTCCATTCCCACCTCTGCTTCATGGCTGCCCCTCTGGCACGCCTCTCAGCCACGTGAATCTGACTCGGGTGTGTTGCCCTAGACTCCAAAACCCTCTGGGACACCACAAATACAATACAAAATAGTAGTATAGAAAAAACAAGACACACGAACAAACAACAACAACATAAAACAGACTCTTAAAATACAGAGAACTGTTGGTGGCGGGGGGGGGGGGGGTGGTTGGTGGGTGGTGGGATGAGTAGAACAGGTGAAGGAATGAAGAGGTACAAACTTCCAGTTATAAAGTAAGTAAGTCATGGAGATGAAAAGTACAGCAT